GGACATTGGCGCGGCACTATAATATAACACTCGCTATTGCGCTCGCCCGCTTGTTACAAACTAGAGTATTATTTTTAATACTGTTCATTAAAATGTATGTAACATCGAACAAAATAGAAAATACAATAGCTATCATAGTTTGAATAACTTTGATAGCTTTATTACTTTTGTTGTTATGACAATATAACCTATGAATAATTTTCTTAGAAATCAGAATAAACGTATTGATACCTCGTACTTGCTTATTAGAGTATTACTTATTATATGCGAATACACGTCGACCAGTTTCAAAAAGCACTTAATTATTATCTACTTTAAATCTCTACATATTATAAAACAAATTTGTTTACCGTGTCTGTGCACGATTTTTTCAGTAAATACTGAACGAATTGTATTCTAGTATTCACTGATAAAAGGAGTGTTTCACGAGGATAGTTTAAATATAATTTGTGAGTACTTTGTGGCAGTTGTATGTATAATCCCGGGCGAAACCGGATACATGGGAAGTTGTTAGTAATGTAAAACGTCAACTTATGTTGAGTTGTATAGTTACTCGTATAAATACTCAAACATAGAAACATATAATAATAATTTAATTTGATTTAAATGATAATAAGTATAATATATATAGTTATGAAATATTTAGTATTAGTAATTATAACATAAAATATAATATTGTACCTATAAAAAACTAAAAAAAAGTATAATACATATACTACTAAGTAGAAGGCTACAAAATGAACATGTAGTTATTTTATGTATGTTATTTACATGTATGTTATTTTTATAACTATGTGTTACCTCCCTTTTTTTTCTTTTATACAATCCATTATGAGTTTTGGATCTTTTATATCGTTTGTTTGCAGCCTTTTCCCGTATTGTGGATTAATAATTTCTGGGAGTAAACACTCTTTGTAGAACCTTATAATTAATAAATACAAAACTTAGTCATAATTTTATTGTTTATATTTTTTTTATAACTTACTAATTATTAATTGAAATTAACAACATTTTACAGTATATCCCTAAAGATTTGGAAATTCCTGTAAATATAAAGAATTTTCATGACATTTTAAATATATTAGGAGTACAATGTTTCATCATCAACGATAGGTTAATATTTGAAATTAAATTACCCTTATGTAATAGCGAAAATTACACCATGTACCATATTTTACCACTATATATTCCTATCAATAAGAACAACCAATTTGTCCATCTAGTTCAGCATAACAAATATTTAATTACCGATATAAAAGTAGATACGTATGTAGAAATTAATGATATAAAAAGCGTTTGTAAAATAATAGATAATTTTTTTATTTGCGAAACAGACAACATAGAGTACAATAGACAGAATAAAACAAACTGTGAAATTGACCTACTAAATAATTATTATAAAATACCGTCGACTTGTAATATGTATGTTACAGAATTTACATCGGAGACGTGGTATACATCATATTTTAATAACCACTGGTATTTCGTTTGTAGTCAGCCTACTCTACTGACAATTATTTGCAAAAAATATAGTTTTATTAAAAAAATAATTATAGAAAATTTTGGCAAGTTGTGGTTAGAAAAAAACTGCATGGCCTCTACACCCAGTAGTAGTTTAAAACCAATTAGTTCGTATACCTCTAATTACAAATCCTTACCTATAATGATTTCGCTGATAGAGGATAAATGTTGTTCAGAAATAAAAAATAAAACAATTCCTAAACCCGTTCACTTAGAAGTTCTAAAAAATATAAAAATTAATGAACAGTCTTTACACAAATTAAATTTAGAGTTAGATGAGGAAGGAAAATTAGCTACAACATTATACGGTAATATATATAAATATTTAATTGATAAGGCCTTAGATTTTTCTTTTGTGACTATTTTTTTTATAATTATAATCCTTGTTTTAATATGTATAATAATATACTATAAATATTTTGTAAATAAAAAGCCAGTTTCAAATGTTCAGGTCATAGAATTAGGTAGACGTGATCCTTTGGATACCATTAATAACCCTTTAAATTATGCACCTGATAATTTTATGCGCGAAAAATAAGTCATGATGTACAACGTAAAATTAATTGTATTTTATTTTATATTTATATATCAATATATATTATTATATACCTACTATAAATGTAAAAAAAGTTTTAATTATTTTGTGTGTCAATTATAATTGAAACTATTTTATATTTTACACAATAATATATATGTATAAATGTACTTAAATTATACTTTTTTATTATAGTTGTAAATTAAATATTTTTGATCTTTTAATGTATCGTTATTTACTATCATAATACATATAAAATTACCACACTAGATTTGAGTCGATTTCACTATTTTTAGCTAAATTACAGCAAGTCTGTGTAAAAAACAAAATAATCAAAAAGAGGTACCAATACGTTTATCCAACAATGATACATTATTATAACAAAAGTAATAAAGCTATCAATATGATTCAAACTATGTTGGATATTGTATTTTCTATTCTGTTTGTTGTTTCTTACATTTGAATAAACAGTAGCTATTTTAAATACTATTCCGAGACATGCGCGCGAGCTTGCGCAATAGCGAGTGTTATAACGCAGTGCCGCAGTCAACACCTACCCGGTCTTTTTTTTTTTGTGTTTTAACATTTTTGGGGGAAAAGGAGTAGATTCTTCCAAATCTTACCCCTCTATGTACCAACTATATCTAATTACTGATCGATTGATGTGCCACTCGATTAAATCGGTATATCGGGTTAAAAGTTACAGTAGTTCAAAGTTAGGTACAGCGTACGGATAGCACAGCACAGCTCACCTAACCCGGTCCGGGCTAAAAATCAGTATTTTAGAATATTATAAAGTAACAGAAATAATATCGGATTTCGATAAATGCAATATAAATAATAAAAAAACTATTGTAGATAAGAGGAAATATGTAATATTATTACCTGCCGCCTAAAACCGGTTTTGGTCGTGGTCGGCGGCCGCCGCCTTCGTGTTCACGTGAATTGCAACCCGCTAGGAGCTGCCCCCACCACCACTGCCGCCGCCGCGTCACACCGCATGTGTTTTAAAGTCGCCGCTAGGATCGCCACAAACTGGCACTAATAACTACTAAAATTTGACTAAAACATGTCTCAGGATATGCAATTTTCTGAGAAACTGAGTGGTTTTAGCGCATACTTGCTTATTAACAAAATTAAAGATGAAGAGTTTATCTACATATTGACAGAGGGTTTTTTCGATAAAATGTTTTAAAACGAAGATATACGCTATTGAAAAATGAAAACTTCAAAGATCTATAACTCGGTTCCTAGTAACATAATCGAAAAAAACCTATGTTAATATGTAGATAAACTTCTAATCTTTAATTTTGTTCATTAGCAAGTATACGCTAAACCTACTCGGTTTCCCAGAAAGTTGCATATCCTGAGACATGTTTTACGCGCCGAAAAAAAGTGGTGTGACGCCCTCTTAACTTTCTATTACTTAGCAAAATATTGTCGAATAAATTCAATTACTATAAAAACTTATGGTTTTGATGTATAATAAATTAGGATAAGTAGAATAAATGTTATCGAACGTCTAGATGCGAAAAAAAGTTGAAAATCAGAAAAACATATTGAAAGAGTACAGTTTTACTATTTTTGAAGATTTCGTAGTTTTACTTACTTTAAACAATTGCAATAGTTAAACCAAGTGTGTCAATGGTTGTCTTACGACTTGTTGAATGAAATCTGTTATATTGACCGATACAATACAATGTAAATATGTTTTACAGTTTGGTTTTGACGAATTTATTAACATAAGCAGTATGGTAATTTTTCGTTAAGACTAACATATTTATTTAATTCCGAAACAGAGTATAAAGTTTTTATAAAAATCGTATATATTATAATATATGTATACAACTAATGTGCAGTAAATAATACAACTGTGCTACACTACAATGTTAAATTACAATTCAAATCAAAATACATACATATTCCACTTGAATTAGGTCAACAACATTTAGCACAGTAGTCTCCGCTTTTTGGAGTGTTTATATACTATACTATAATATTTATTACAGGTGTAAGACACTCATTTTCTTGGAAAATATAAATATATTTATTATTATTATTATTATTATTATTACTATACGTAAAACAAGTTTGTTCTTCGTTTGTCCAAAATGGAACATATTTTTTTTAATTTTGTAATATGTTACCTTTGCAAAGTCATAGTAAATGGAAATTAAAACGGTTAAACTTTGTAATATAAGACCGTCCGTGATTTAGGTTTCATCCTTTTTTTGAAATGTTTCCCCAGTGGCTCATATCCAAAAAAAATTATGCAAGGCACTAAAGAGTAAAGCTTCTTGAGTTTTTTAGTCATTCCACTCAAATCTTTAATATTTTTCTATCCTTTAAACTCCCTTATTGTTCTCTTGTCCGTCTGATCTTTGAGTATGCCAGTGTGCTAGGACCAAGCTACCGCTAATGCCAGCGCCATGATCGAAAGAGTTCAGAGAAAATTCTTGCACTCTTACTCTTACAGGTTTGATATCTCTTCTCTACTCTCTGGATGACTGCTCTACTGTCATTCTAGCTTTTGCCATTACTTGGCTCTTGTCTGCTTCTACGTCTATCTTATACACGCAAATCTTTTGTTTATTAGGGAAAAGCCTAAAAACATTCTTCGTTCTTATAAAATTGAATATTGAACTGTAAATATTATAAATTATCTCTCTTTGGGCAATAAATAGTCTGGCGAGAGCCTACCGTTTTCCTTCTCATAGGTTACCAATTCAGACCTAAAAACTTTCTCCCAGTAAAAATAAATCATACCAATCAATAGGTACGCAACAATAATAATAATAGCTCTTAAGCAACAAAATATGAGTTTATAACTGTGAGCAAACACAGTTTATTTTAGAAAAACCATAACATAATATAACAATTTGGATGTTAGTACAATATGTAAAAATTATTTTTAATATTATAGAAACATACATGTGATACTAGTCTAAAATGTTGTGGTGGTTTTCGATTTCTCAAATCGTGGGATACTGGAATCGTCGAGTAGCTGTACATTTAATTCTTTTATTTTAGTATCCGTTTTATTGACATTTACTTGCCAATATATACCCTTAAATGATCTGTATTTTACAGCATTCCCGTCCTCATCATGTACTACACAAGTATCATTATCATTCTCTTCATGACCTACAGAAACTAACAGTATTGAAGCCGTTTTTGAACTAATCCACAATGATATCAACATACAAAATTTATAAACAGAATGCATCTTGTCATACGAAATCAGTTCAGCTAAAAATTAAGAAAATAGTAGTTAAAAATTGCCAAATTCAGCTTACTAGTAACTATTTCACTTTATTGTGCAAGACAAATTTACTAAACGTAAATAAAACAACTTATACAATGCATCACTATCAAGCATGATGGTTTCTAGACAGATTCGCTGTCCGGGAAGGGCCGTCAGATAGTCAACTAATACAATTATAATATATAATATGTATATTGATTAAAACGCTGATTATAAACGAATATTTAAAGAGCTACCACCTCCTCCTCGCCGAACTTTTTGAAACTTACCCTGCATGTCTGTTACGCATAAAGAATGTTCTAAACATTTTTTTTTTTATTAAAATGTTATAATATATAAGTATTAGTTTTTTCTTTATTCTTCCTTTTATCATTTTTTTTTGCCAAACGCAAAACGTAATAAATAGGCAGTTTTTTATGAAAAAAAATATCGGTTTTTTAGAATAAATTCTGATTTTTTTTTTGTGAGTGTCACAAAAAGTCATTTTAATTGAGTTTTTAATCTAAAATGTGTGGTTTTTTTCGTGTTGCTCAAGGTTTGTGCAATTTTATAACACGTTTTTAGAAAGCTGAAAATGTATTCATTTCAAACTGGTTTTCTATAAACATGATTGATAAGAGAAGTGAATTCATAGAAAAGTCGAAAAAACGGGAAAAGTGACTACAGTAATCAAAATAGTTTAAATAGTTATGAATAAATATTCTACAATATTCCTTTAAGATACTTTGGACTGGACGATAACCATTTGTGGATAGTTATTTTTAAAGTTATTAACAGAAAAAGAGGAAGGATGAAGTATAGTTATTATCATCTGCATGCATTTATCTACGGCTTTTGAATTCTCATCCTAAATTCGGAACTTCATTAAAAATACTTTTAAAGTAATTATCCAAAACTATTTTCAAAACTATTAAAGCCTATCAAAATTTTCAACAAATTATTCTTGTTGCTAGAGGCTAGAGCTCCAGAACAAATTATGAAAAAATTAATATGTTGTGAGAAATATTGCAAAATAACAATAATTAAAGTGGTTCAACACATAAAAATTACAAATTTGTAGTTATTTAAAAATAAATTGAGCAATAACAAATATTATAGTAAAAACATAAATCCAAAAACCCCCTTACGCACTAAAGTTGTGTTTAAAAAATGTGTAATATTGAAAAATAACAAAAATTAAAATATCTCCAACTGCAAAACCTCACATTTTTAGTAGTTAAGAAAAATTGGTTGTGTTATTCATATTAAATCACGCTGAAGAAATAGATATTATTAAAAATGTCGATTTATATTCACCTAATGCTTGGGTAAGTACATTTCGTATAGCGTTTCCAGTAAGAACTCTTCTCGCCTTTCCAAGTTCGTTCAATTTATTAATTGCTCTACCTGCATAAATATACATAAACTTGAAAAACTGGGTTGAAAATATAATATTTATTAATATATTCGCATATTTTTTAATTTTCTAACTTAACGTCTTAATTAGTACAAAAACAGTGGGAAGAAACGTAAAAAGATATGATAAAAAGAATATTAGCAGCGTTGGTGGAGTCTAGAAGGGGTGCAAAAATAAAATGGAGTTCGATTTGTTAGTCCGAAGATCATCCATGATTAGGTTACAGAAAGTGTGGACAGCGATGTAGTCGTGAAGAGGCTGCTGTATTTTTAGTAAAAAGACGACATAGGCTAAAAATGTATTCTGTATTTGCTAAATTGTTATCTGAACCATTGTTTGGTAAGATTGCTAAAAGACTACTCCATATCCTAGAACCCTTAAAAGAAGTCTCCTCAACTAAAAGTTTGCTTAATTGTAATTATTGTGTGAATAAAAGAATATATAAAGCAAATTTTATCTTTCAAACAAGCTGTAAGCTCTATTTAATACTAACGAGTAGCTTTGTAAATTATTTTGTATTTATCATCATGTACAGTAACAGCTGTAACAAAAATATAAAACAATTATATAGTAAATCAACAATGTTTGTAACTTTTATGTATAACAGTCACTCGAAAAATACCATTATTTCAACCAATTAATTAACGCAAAATCTGGTATTACAAAAAAAATATAGCTTTAAGGCTATGTTAGCTACCGCCATTAAGTGATCTTTAAACTTTAGAATAGAACAAAAAAAGTAATCGTGAAAGAATTATGCGGTTTGTTGGAAAATATCACAATATGACATTTTTTAACATAAAATGGCAGACCAAGAAGGTAAGTCCAGTCAAGAAAAACATTAAGTTTAGTATGTTAAAGGCAACAGTTCACAGATAAGGTAATACTAAAAAAATTATTTATGTAAAAAAATCAGAAACCGCTTCGTGAGCTTAATTGTATTGTTAAAAATTGATTCACGCTGTTCAAAATTTTAATGTTAATATAATATTAGTAATATGTTTTAAGTCTCCCAAACTAAAATTTTATTTTATTATATTACTGTGTGGACAAATGAATATATATAAAACTAAATATATATCTTTCAAATAAGCTAAAAGTAATATTCAATTCTAACGAAAAACGTTGTAAGTATTATTTCAAACAGGGGTTCGGAATTCGTTCCTATTTGACTCATTTCTCTTTTATGTTCCGAAACAAATACCCGGAACTCGTTCCTTAAGATATTCGTTCCGGAACTGATACCTGGAACTCGTTCCTTTGATATTTGTTCCGGAACAAATAAAATGTAATTGTACCTTGTCATTATTAATAATTTATTAATGGAGCAACATGTATTTGTTCTACGTATTATGTTGTTTCGTTCGAATTTAGTAAAAACAAAAAAATTGTGAAAAATTGAGATCACATTATATAACAACAATATGAAAAAAAAGTAAATTTCTTATTAAACCCTATGAGATATTGAGTGGTCCATGATAAAATAATCACCCTGTATATATCGTGTAAAAAATTATACTGTAAATTACCCATATATTATAGCCCGTATATATCTAAAAAAGTATTAAATTAATATAAGTTAAGTGTTTTTTAACTTTGCAAGTTTAATTTATGATTAAAGGACTGATGGTTTTGATGGATTAGTTGGATACATTTTTCTTAGTATGTATAAATGTATTATAATAACTCTATTAACTTTCACCATGTATATACTATATACATTTATGTACACTGAAAATAACATTAATTGTTATATCAAATGCATTAACTATAATATGTTGGTAAATTAATTAACATTTAACTTACATAAATGTGTCTATTGTTTCTAAAATACCACACACAAAGGCTGAAGTAACAAAAAAAATGTGCACCTTCAATAAACTCGAATGAAACAACATAATACGTAGAACAAATACATTTTGCTCCATTAATAAATTATTAATAATGACAAGGTACAATTACATTTTATTTGTTCCGGAACAAATATCAAAGGAACGAGTTCAGGGTATTTGCTCCAGAACGAATATCTTGAGGAACGAGTTCCGGAACGATTACAACAGGGAGTTATGAACGAACACGTTCCGGAATTAGTTCCGAACCCCTGATTTCAAATGACAATCGGATATATAACAGAAAGAGATTACTTTGTAATTACTTTGGTTTTCATCATCAAGTGGAGGAATATCTGTAATAATAATATAAAAATTGTTTATGGTTAATCAACCTGGTTTATTTTATTTACCCATGACAGTGCCAGCTAATCAATGTCAAATATTTGAGTATTAACATAAAGCCGACCCCCCCCCCGCTCTAGAAAATAGTTTAAATATCGTGTAATATTGAAAAATAACAAAAATTAATGAGTCTCCAAAGAGAAAAGCCATAATTTTATCATTTAGTTAAAAAAATATTGATTGTGTTATCAATTATGAAACACCTGTAAGAATACATGTTATCAGAAAAACAATACCACTCAAACTCTATACTTAAATACTTACCATATATTTGGTCAAGTAAATTGTCTAAAGCTTTTCCAGTAAGATAAGTTCTTGTTTTTCTACGTGTGGTCTTTCCTATAATTTCATAACCTGCATAAATTAAGATATTACCGTATTAATAATACAAAAATTATTAATATATTCGTATTTATGTTTTTATTTTGAAATTGTACGCCCTGATGTTATATATTATGTATCCTCAACTAAATTTTAGTTTAATAAAAATATAATGTAAATAAAATCAAATAAAGAAAGTTATATCGTTCAATCAAACTATAACTTTTTTTTTAATGAACGATTAAATTTGTATTTACTTTGGTTTGGATAGATTATAGGAATACCTGTAACAAAAATATAACATCATTATACAGTTGATCAAACCAGGTCGTTATATTTATCCATAACATTCGTTTTGAAACGAATAAACGGTATTTATTTTACCAATTATTCAATGCAAAATAGATTATTAACATTAAATTATTCTCTAGCAACGTTTAAATAAATACTTTCTGCTCACTGAATTTTTTTTGCCGCAATCACATTTCATGATGCTTATTGGCCTTTAAAAATTGTTTTCTAAAAAATTGAACGTTTTATACTTACCTAAAAACTTAAATAATTTCTGTTGCAGAGTATGTGTTTGTGTATTTATTGAACCTAAATTTGAAAAAAATTAAAACTTGTAATAGAAACCAATGTTGTACAAATAGTTCTATGCAATGCATTATAAATTATAAATTTATAATGTATAAAAGTGGTAATTGATTACCTTGTAGAAATTCAAAGTTGCCAGTTAGTGCAAGTTCTGAAATTAAAGCAAAAACCTTGTATACTTAATGATTATTATACGATTGTGTGGAAATATTTCCATAAAATTCTAATAAACATATTACCCGGTACAGTGAACATGTCAAACAAAAATCCTGAAATTAACAATACAAAAATGGTATTGAATTTAATTTTTTATTCTATCATAAACTAAACTAAAGCAAAGTTAAAAAAAAAATAATATGTGTATAAGTAATTTAGAACAAAATGCTTAGTTCAAGTTAGAAATCTAATGAAAATACAATAGCTGTATTAAATCGTATTGGGGAGTAGAATAAGATAAAATAAAATATATGTAATCTAATCATTTTTTCTAACCCTTTCACTGTCGTGGACGTACTTTTACGCACTAATCAATTAAAGAAGTCCGAAACAGGTTACCATTATTAAAGTGATGGTTGGGACGTGTTGCAGTTCGAAAAACTGCGTTGCGTTTTTGACAAACACAACGGCAGTAAAAGGGTTTAAAATTCTTTTTTAATGTTATTCGTATACAATTATTATATTAGCAAGATTTGTTTTTATGAAAATAAAATTATTATTACTCATTGGATTGCAATTTGTATGTACAATGTTTTTAATTGCATGCTCCAATCCATCTAGAACAAACAAATAAAAGTTTAAACTAAAGAAAAGTTCCGAATAAATTCAAAATGTGTATAAAAAGCAGAAAATTAAATTACACCATACATTAGGCAACTCCCCCAGTTCCCTAATTAGTCCATTCCTGGGGTAAAGTATGCTCATTGTAGAATACAGTGACTTTCAGGGCGGCCCGTGCCTAAGGGTGATGGAGCACAGACCCAATCTAAAATATAAAACTACCACTTTAAGAGGATACCACTCCGCCCATTTATTAGGAAGTTAGGTGTTAGCATTATTTTTATAGTCTTAACTTAAAAACACAGATAATGTTCTAAACTAGTATAGATATCTTTCTTGTAAGACAATTTTCTTAATTGCTGTATTATAAAAGCCAACTCATATTTTAAAACCGTAAAGATGCATTTGGGGAATCCTAGTAAATACGAGTACAAACATTTGTTAGTTTATTTTTAAAACTTAAAAACTTGTACAGTGTTTAGCTCACTGTTACTATATTATATTATTTTTGATGTACAAATAGTTTGATAAGTAGGCCAACATACCAAAACAATTACATATTAGTATATTAATTATTATTATCTTACTTCCTTTATCGTCGTTAATGTCAGAAGCTTTTTGAATTTGCAAGTCTGTAGTAAATGTTTTTAAAAAATAGTTTTATACAAATATAGTAAAATTTTTAAATGTACTGTGTTAGTCTGTATGATTATAAAATCTTACTTACTCAGAAGTTCAACCATATTTATATATTCTGCTGTTAAGAAAAGTAAAATGTTATTTTTTTTAGAATTTCATCTTACTTGTGTGGGTAAATACGAAAATAAAATACTTACTTATACTTATTTTAGCCATAACATTTACGCAGATAAATGATAATAAAATACAGGAAATTTTCATTTTTATCTAGAAACATTAATAAATATATATATATGCATTTTTTAAAGCTCAGGCGCTCCAGGAAAATATATTATTTGTTTTTAATTTTAATTTTTTTCGAAAAAAATTCGTATTTCAAAAATGTCTAACCACTAAGAAGGTATAGTGTTCTAGTAATATCTTTTATTTTCAGAATTTACCATTTTTTTTTTGTATTTTTTAATGAACTTAAAATATAAGATAAAAAGTTACAAAATCAAAAAATAAAATTTTCATATATATTGCACATTTTAAATTTGAGTACATTATATTTCGGCAATACAATAAACTAAAAACATATTTTGCAGCCTATCGTTGCTAATTTATTTGCAAAGCTTTTTTTTGTATTGATGCCGAGCTAGTGTTTCTATATCTGTTTTTTTTTTGTATCAGCAAATACGACTACATGTTTCAGTACGGCCCGATTAACCTTAAATATCCGAAATTTTGAGTGACTTTGTTAGGTTAAAAGTCGAAAAAGTAGACTTCTTCACTCCCACAAACGTCAACTTTTTATAACTTAGCGAAAAAGTGTCAAACTGAAACAAAATTGTACTAGAATATTGATCAGGCATGCCCTAATACACAAATATCCTCAAATCCAATTTTCAATTTTAATCCTACACTCCCTCGCATGAATATAATTTTTAAAAAAGGCATTTGGTTTTAAAATCTATTTTAAAAAATATTGTACAAAGAAACAGCATGGACTCATATTTTTAAAATATCGAATACAAAATATAATATTGATGTAAATGGATAAGCCGGACAAAAAAAAAGGTGTTTTTGAAAAAGAAAGAATAACCAATATGTTTTTTGAACTAAAATAAAATGTAGATTTTTATTATTAAACTTATACACTTGAATACGGATGACACTTTGAAAATAAAACTTAACTTTTAAGAGTTTCTGTAATTATAACAGCTTCTGCTATAATGTACTACTGAATTCCGACTGACTAACTAGGCGATTTGCTCGTGTCAACCGACGGGCCCAGGACACCCGACACCAAAGGTTTCGACATAACCACGACGAGACTTGCAATCGCATATTAAAATTAATGCTACATAGAGCATTCCAAACTATTATAAAATATGCTACACTACATCCCTCCCCGCAAAAGATTGGACAGTCCAATAAATAATTATAATTTTCTTAACTTATGGGGGCACGGGTTACAATACCGCTATTCCGTGCTTATTATCTTATATCTAATTATATTACTTACTATGATTAAACCTAAGGGGTACATAATTAAATATATGTTTAGGTATATTAATTTCTAACTAAATTGACGATTCCGCGACTACGTCTCGGGGTTGGTACACAACAGGTTTACGCTTTTTGCACTTGGCAAAACAGTATAAAGTAAAACATAGAGTGAGTAGAGAAAATTACAATTGTTAAGGTGAGAATAAAATGGTTTGAGAAGGTATGAGAGTGATTTGATTTGCATACAAATTACATGTTTGGTAAGTGTTACCTGTCGTGTACCATCTAATCTTATTATACGGGGTTCACCGTTATTACATTTTATGGTTACGCTTTCATTTTTGGCCAAAAGTAACCAAGTGTTAGTTTTGGACAAACGATTCAACATAGCGGATTTCATGGTTATATAGTGGATATTACAAAGAGTTGGTATAATTGGTCGTGTGTTACAATTCTAGATGTACATTTGTTACAATAATTTGTTTTAAAAAATCAAGTTCTTACTTTAGCATACTTCATTATTTAACATTACCAATCTCAAAAAGAATGTAATAGTATGATTAATTACTTATTTATTGAGCTGAAATTTTAGTTAATTTTTATACTGTTATTAATATTTGGGTATTGAACAAGTTACTTTACAGTAACTATTGGTTAAAATAATAAGTCAATATGTACCTTTTAATGTGCTTAACGTGTAACAAGCTCTGTAACTAGTGATGATAATATAAAAATAGTAAAATCTATCCTTAATTTGATTAAACAAAGAAAAGATAGAAAAAACTTATCGTATTCCCTTGATCAATTAAAAAGAAATGTTTTTATTTATAATATTTAGTTGCTATTTTTCTGTTAAAATTAGTTTATATCGGTTTAGAATTAGTTTCCATGCTTGCTTTGATATTACCCGGATTTTGCATTATGGACATTTTGTCATATGCATGTCATTGAAATTAGTTCGACATCGGTGTTGACTAATTAAAGAGTAAAAAGCGACCAGATTTTAATTTTTTAAATATTAAATATTGTATAATTTAAAAAGATTTAATATTTTTTGTTCTGTGAAGTATTAATTTTTTAGCATGTTAAATAAAAAAACTAAAAACAAGTACTTGACAGTTATGTATTTTTTATTTCTTTTTCTTTTTTTTTTACCACTGAGGTAGGCATTTAGGATAAATTTGTGTATTTGCTATTATGAAAAACATGATACTAAATTGGTATAGAACACTTCTTGGATCAATTACTTAATGATGATAGCGTTATTAGGTGGGTAAAAATGTATGATAATGACCAAATATTTATTTTGGTAAACTGGTACCTATTAATTAAGTAAATACATAGTAGTTGAGTGTTGACTTATTGTCTAAGTCTGTTTTTTTTTGCTATTTATTTTTTAATGTCTCGTTACGAACAATATTTAATAAGCGTAAATGAAAAATCTTCAGACCCAATGTCTGAAACGGACTATTATGAAAGTCTCTTTAATGAGTTGGAAGACTTAAAACAAGTTTGTTATAAATACTCATTTATAAAAAAAAAATTAAGTTGTTTTATATGTACAATTGGTTTCTCACAAATTATTAATTTAGGAAAATTACACACTAATAATTAAAATCAAATTATTATCAGTGACAAAAACTTTAACTGAGATTTATACGGAATTCGGAAAAGGTATAAATTGTAAGACACATTTGAAAAAAATACAATTTCATAACTATTTATTTTTGTATTATATTTTCGCTTAGTTTGTAAATAAAACTAATAAAAATAAATAATAATATAAAATTGTATTTTATAATTGATAAATGATAATGTTATACGGAAAATAGGTTATTAGTTTTTGTCTTTTAAACACCGATTACACTTAATAAAGTTATCCGACAAAACTTCACTGAACAACAATTACAACGTGAAAAATCTTTAATAAAGCCAACCATATATCGAAATTAAGTAACACCGCAAAATTGTCTATCACTGTCGGAATTTAAATAATGTTATCTATTCTGTGTTCAAAGTCTATAAACTCCCTGCAAAATACGTCTATACGAGTGTGGTTAGTCCAATATCAATCATTTTTATATTGTAGGTATCCGTTTAATCAGAAAAAAAAAGCTTTGGTAAAATGAAAAGATGAACAATTGTGATTTAATAACACGTTTAAATGGCCGACACAATAAACGCAGAGAGAAATTTTTTAATTTTCATTAATTTCAAATGTATATTTTTTTAATGTATGAATAAAAATACAATTTTGTTCACTTATTCTTTTTTAAAAACTATTCTAAATAAAATGGCAATCTTGAAAATAAATGAGTATAAATAATTTTTTTAAAAAAAAACTTGAAAATATTCACTAGAACAAAAGTTTTTTCATTAGTCATATCTTCGTGGGCCACCCTGTATATATATACAAACTATTATGTAACACCACTATACAACGGTATACAGCGATTAAGGGACGTGTTGATAAAAACTTTAATATTTTAATGTGTATAATAATAATTGATAAATATCTTATTCAAGTTAGTACTACAAATTAAGCATTCTTTTCCCCTAAAATAAAAACATTTTTTTTCGAAATGGGAAACTCTCTGTCAATTGAAATCAAGACGCTGCTTGTTGATTGAACTGCCGTTTAAATTAAAGATGATTTCATGTGTAAAGTAAAGATGCTCTGATATTTGGAATATTATTAATAAACAAGACGGCGGCGCAAAACTAGGTTACGGCGGCACTTACTAAACGTACCGGTTTGATATTCGGGGGCGCAAAACGATGGAAGGGCGTTCCGTCAGCGGGGGCCGCGGTTAGGCTGAACGATCGAATTAAGGAGGGGACGATCGAACGGTGGCGGTGACAATTACACGTCGACACAAAACTAAAAGGCGGATGCCCACTTTTTGCACTATTATATTATGTAAAAAGAAATTGGTTATCTGAATGGCAAACAGACACCCCTTTTTTAAGGCCGGAATCCGTAAGTTTGCCCACTGTTATAATTTAACTAATGGGTTACCGCTGCCACCAGATGATGTAAATGGATAGGCCGGACAAAAAAAAGGTGTTTTCGTAAAAGAAAGAATAACCAATATGTTTTATGAACTTAAATATACTGTAGATTTTTATGAGAGGTTCTGCTATAATGTACTACTGAATTCCGACTGACTAACTAGGCGATTTGCTCGTGTCAACCGACGGGCCCATGACACCCGACACCAAAGGTTTCGACAAAACCACGATGACACTTGTAATCGGATATTAGTATTAATACCAATATAATGCTACATAGAGCATTCCAAAATATTATCAAATATGCTACACTACAATATTGTATATTATTCTAAGATAAATGCGTTTAAAATTCATCCATCTCTATATAATGCGTACTTACGAAGTTTGATAGTATTACTTACTTATGGCCTTGATGTATAATGAATTGGGACTAGTGAATTAAATGTTATAGAAACTCTAGATGCGGGAAAACGTTGAAAATTAGAAAAATATATTAAAAGTGTGTAGTTTTAAAATTTTGGAAGTTTTGGTAGGATTACTTACTATAACAATTGCAATGATAGTTAAACCGGCCGTTTTAATGGTTTTTTTACAACTGTCGAACAATATCTGTTTTTGTCGAACAAAAAAATCCAATGTAAATATGCGTCAATCACTTTATTTTCAATACATATTTCTTATAACGTGATTTTATAGGTTTCTCGGATAAAAAACCATACTACTAATATGTGATATATATATATATTGTTCATCGCTATCTATTGGAAATATATGTAATATAATATATGTACAGGGTGATTCTATTTGGGTAAGACACTCGTTTTCTCGGAATATATCAATATTCTGAACAATATTGCGTTCGACAGCGACGACAGTAGGGACGGGGGGAATCAAATACAAAATTTCCACAGGCCTGTGACTAGGTCAATCGCCGCCGGAAATCCCGACTCGTTTATTTCAGTTAGTTGATAGTTCAGTGCGCGAATTACGCAATTCACTTGAGCCGACGCAAAACACCGGCGAAGGCATAAATACTCGTATGGCCGACGCGAAATCAGAAAAAGAACGCGCGTCACACGTAGCGCAACGCGAGCGCCCAAGGAGGACACCGGTACAACCGTCGCCTCGCCCACCGCCGCCGTCGCCGCCGTTGGATCTCCCGTCACTGTAACTGTCACCACCGCCGCCGCCGCCGCAAATATTACGCGCGCTGACAATAACACCGCTCGCACCGTGCCCGTAGTAAACACACCTAATAATATGGCATCTACACTCACACTCGTCGAGGCGTTACGTCTTATACCAATTTTTGACGGCACAATACCGTCCGATATATACCCTTTAATTAATGCCTGCGAAATCGCACTAATTAGTGTAGCAGACGAAGCAAAACCCATTCTATTAAAAGTAATAAAAACAAAATTGCACGAGAACGCTTTCGCTAAACGCGGTACAGGGAAATAGAAAATTGGGACTCACTGGAAAAATTATTCAAGGATGTATATTGCGCGTAACGCACGGCAACACATCTACAGATCGAATTAAATTCAACGCGCCAACGCGAAAATGAAGCCATAAGTACTTACTCGACGAGAGTACAAACGCTATTTCATGAACTGTTCAACGCAAGCGCAATGGGAAAATCGGTCGCCGAAGCCAAAATTATACGCGACCATATCAAAAGCCACTTTTATCGAGGGGCTACGACAACCAGTAAAAACAATTATAAAAGCTGGAAGACCGACTTCATTGGAAGCGGCAATAAAAGAAAGTTTGGAGGAAGAACGCAAATATCAATCAGATGGAGAAACACAGCGATTCTTCAAAAATCCAAAACCTAACGGCAGTGGAAACTCGAAATACTGCAGTCATTGTAGAACAAATACACACAGTACCAAGAACTGCCGGTCAAAGAAATACAATACCACAAATAGGGCAACTGCGGGACCTACCTCGTCATCTACGGTTAAAACAAGCTGTACTGTCGCTATTGTAAAAAAACTGGACATGCCATTAGTGATTGTAGAAATGAGAAAAAGCGAGATGGGCAGAGCGCAACTTATTCGGGAAACAAGGAGCGACCGACTGTCAAAAGCAAACGGACGGTGCGCGACTTAAAGCTAAAAAATTTCATCATATTTTTTAATCATTTTAATAACTATTACTGAACAAATTCATATTGTTTAGTTTGGTTTATTTAATAAAAATATATATCCAGAGTAGCTTAATATAAACTAATTTTTGTAAAATATTAAGTGAATAATAATTATTTAAAAAACCTACTAATAGATTATAAATAACATTCAGTCTTGCAAGGTATTTTGTACCAACATTTAAATACATTATTTGGTATTGAATACTATTTTTGATAATTCGTTATTAATTATTTAATTATTATTTATAAAAAATGTGTATAGTGCAAGATAATATTTAGTTATAGTTTCCCTTTTTTTTAAATTCAGTAAGACAATCAATCTGATTTGATAATCTCACCATCATATAAGCAATTTTGCATTAAATTAAATTATATATTTATTAAGTATGATGTTTTTACGATTATGACCCTAGTTTGATCATATTTATTAATATAACAGAATTGTGTTAATCTAGTTTACAGTAATTTTATATTATGCCATATTCTTATTATCCTATGCAAAAAAGGCCAACAATTTTTTTTCTCTTCACAAGTCTTTATCCGGCAATAGGTTCACTTTGGACTATCTACTTATAATGTATATATTGATTTGTGAAACTTGAAAATTAAACATATGTCTTAATCTAGTTATTTATGTTAGGTATTAAAACTACAAGTGTCATATGTTCCGTTTTCCTTGCTCTAATATATCCTTTAGGTACCAAATTTTGTTAATAATATATCTTCTAAAATACAAGACTAAAGACAAAGCTCATAAGCTCCTATCTGTATTCTTTAACTACAGAATACAGATGTAAGATGTGGCATAACTAATTTATACTTGACAGCCAAATTTTTAAATCGTCAATTAATTTAGGTAAAAAGTAAAAATGTTTTATTTAAATATAGTAGTAATATAAACAATTTGTGGGAAATTTTAATAAAATTATTATTATTTTATACCAAATAATATTAAATTATAACATATACTATAGGTATATACTATAATATAATGTAATTTATTATGAATTTTACATTATATAATTTTACGTGTATAGTGTATACGATTTAAATTAGATAATTGATAAAGATCTAACTACAATTTGCAATAAAGATAAGAACCTAACTAAAGGCAATGTTTTTGATATTAAAATACGAAATTTCTCTTGGCGGGTTTTTGGTAAAATCGATGTTGGTACTATCTGTAGTAATACAGATTTTATAGGTTATGTAACATTTATTTATTATCACGCGTTATCATTTTTTGGAAGAACTACCCCCAACTCCAACAAATTAAGCAGTTTACTGTTTTGTCATGATAATAACAGCTATAATATAGTTAAAACTTAAAAATATAAATTTAATTATTATTTAATACAATTTAGGTACAATTGTATATGATTCACTATTGTCTATCAGCAATACAAATTCTTTATCATCAATACAAATGCAATACATTTTAAGTCTATTGATAAGGATTTTAAATATTCAAATATTTTTTTTGTGACTTTGGTGCTCGTGCATGATGTCGGTGATAAAATCGCATATAGTTTTTCGGCTAACTGCCCTGTGCCCGTATTTATCTATGGTAGCCGGTATCAAAAACTGATAATATAAATAAAAATTGATAATTATTTTTCATCTCATTTATCAGTTCTCACCAGTCACTACTTAATATTTGTTATAGACAGTAATTGTTTTATGTAATGTTTATTTATTAATTTTAATTCCTTGGATAATTTTAGGTTTTTTCTTTTAAATAATAAAATTATGGAATATGTCCCACGTTGTAGTAACCCTAAAAAAAGGAAGATGAATAGAGGCAGTGATTTGAAAAAAGACGAAAAGCCAAAACACAGCTCAAAAGTAAAGTACCGTGCAGAATGGAAAATGACCCAACTTTAAAAACTGGATTGAACCAAATCATGTGAGTTTAAAGCAAAATGCAGATACTGTAAAATCGGTTTTACTTCAGAATTAACAGTCATAAAAAATCATGCTAAGGGAAAAAAATGTCTACTGTTATGTCAAATGTCGGGCCCAAACAAAAGCAAATGACTGCGTTTACTACAACAATTCCTGCTACAGAATCAGAGAAACACAAAGCAGTTCAACGAGCAGAAATAATGTTGGCTTCATATTTAGTGGAGCACAATGTTGCTTTCTTAGCATCGGATCACCCATCTGACGTTTTGAAAAAAAAATTTCCCGATTCAGAAATTGCCAAGAAAATGTCCATGAAAAGGTCTAAAACTACAGCAGTCATAAAAAATGTAATTAGCAAAATACAAAAAAATCAACAAAAAATAAAAACGGTGATGTTCAGCTTATTAACTGACTAGTCCACTGATATTAGGACAGTAAAAACTTTGTGTGTTGTTGTGAGATATCTATGAAACTTCTATTTCTGTTGCTCTGATTAGTTGATACTCTGCTCATTTTGCTTCAAGCTACAAACCATTTTTATTAAAAATTAAAGACTAAGTAGATATTGTGGAATCTATCAAAAATACTACTTACCTATATTCAGAGATAAATAAATTTTATTACTCGGTTTAAAAAAAAAGTATAAGTTTTATGAATAAAGAAATTTAATTATCAGTTTTAAATTTCAATTTAGTTATTATTATTAAATGTTATACATAAATAAATGTAATTATCTAGAGACCACAATCACAACTCACAGAACACAATTTAAGTTATAATATTTATTCATTTATTTATTACGGACAGATGTCCAATTAACAATGAAATAACATAACATGGTAAATCTAAATACAAGAGTTATAAAACAAAACTTAAAAATTACATAATATATAGTAAATGATAAACATGCAATATATTTAAATAAATTGAATTTTATTTAGTAAGTTATTTCCTGTAGTCATTAAAATATTAATAGGCGAATATAATAAGTAATTATTGCTGTGATATGGAATATAAAATAAATCTTTATTACGTAAAATATGTGGTGGACTTTAAAATTAATGAGGCTAAGAATATAAGAGTCATCAATATTATTATTTAGTAAATTATTAATGAGTGACACGTAGGAATTTTGTCTCCTTTCTTTCAATGTTTTTTAATTTAAATAATTTAGAATTTCATCATATCCAGAGTGGGGGGTCCTTGGTATTTTACATTTAAAGCAAATAAATCGGAGAACTTTGTTTTGGAGCTCTTCAATATAAATACAAATTATAATAATATAATTAATAATTAGTCCAACGGGCAATGACACATTAACAGTGAACAGACACAAGAAATGTGAGAACTTTTAATACAAGACAATACCAAAGAAAGAATATTTTCCAATGTATAAAATACCTCTATAAAGACCTAATATATATAAGATATAAAGACCACTGAAGTTGATGATTTATTGCACTCCAACTAACAATTTGGGGGAATTTAATTTTTGTCAATCCCCGTTTCTCTTTCACACAACATTTGAACATTTCATATTTTGAAAATCCCGAACGGAGCTAATTTGTCAGTTATAAATCGCTCTTGACGAGTTGTGACGTCATCAAAACGAAGAGACCTGAGCAAAAGTCGAAATCTACATTCACTAAAATTAGCGCGCATAATCATCATCCCTGTTCCGTCTTTATTGAAAAATTCGGAAAAATCAGCACGTGATTTCTACGTTTTACACTCATAAAAAAAAATGCTCCAAATATTGCTTTTGTTTCCGATCTTGAGGTGGGTCTGTAATCCCTACCTCAAACAGGAATGTCAGTCTATTTATTTTTTTCAGCCTTTTTTTGAGCAATATAAATATTAGTAGGGGAACCCGGGGCGAAACGGGGACGCGGGGCACAACGGGGATTAGCTTTTTTTACATATAAAATGTTACAAAAAATAGATAAATTGTTTTTTTGTGGTCATCTATGACTTCAAAAGAAAAAATGCACAACTCTTCTTTCGAGTCACCGTTGTGTTAATTTTCTTTAATGGCTTTAGGTTCAAAATCAATATCGTCTTGATCATCAATTTGCTCATCTTCATCCGAATCCACCTCAAGAAGTCCACATATATCTTCTGGATTTTTAAAGCTAACATTAGAACAATAGATACAATATGCATCGTAAGAAAACTAATAGGCGCGCGACAGGTTATCTACCGCCTTGACTGGACTGCGCACGTTTGACGTTGACTGATACGAGTGACCGTGAACAATGGGCTATGACGACACTGCTATCTGGTAGCACATTGTGTCATTTGAGAATACGAACTCCTCCCGTCCTTCTTGCTCGCAATTTTTGTCTGCTCGCGTTTTTATCAATGGGGCGGTAGATTGGGTCGGTAATCTACAGCCCACGCGCCCGGATTAAGGTTAATAACTACGCCGAAGCCATATACGATAAAAAAAAAACGATTATTAAGGAATTATAGTGTAATAAAAAAAACTTTATTTTTAACAATTTAATTTCTTGGTTTAAAACTAAATACAAATTAAACGTTTTTCAATGTTCAGGTTCTTATTCATTTTTGTAAATACACTTCACCAAACAATTAACTAGTATTTGTACAATAGAGATGATAATCGAAATTTTAGTAACTAATTTAAACGTTTCGATAGTTCCCACGGTTTTTACAAGTTTGCCGCCAATCAGGTTTCCAAGTGGAGCTCCTGAAAATTACAAAAGAATTGATCAACGACAGAGTAAGTAAACTAATTTTTTTTTCAATAGATCATTATCATTATATATTGGGCAGATTAATGTCTAGTACATATTAAAAAATACCTAGTTTATCTTTTACCTGTAAGAAATATAGTATAGTCATTATTGATATTATACTATATCGATGGCATTGCCCATCACAGGTGTGATAAATATATATTTTTTGGGAAATGAGTTGTCTAGCGATAGATAACTAATAATATTCTCTTATGCATTATATACAAATTTTGGAAGCCAGTGATTCATTATTTTTATATTGGGGAACAAATGTAATTTATCGGGCACACCTTTTTAAAAAAGGACAACGAAGAGCTAGGGAAAGAAGACCAGTCGGCAGCGCATGTAGACGTGTACCGCCGGGTGCCCGCGTATGTCCATACCGGCGATCTTCTATAACTCTCAAACTAAGTACGTCCGGCAAAACAATTTTGCAGATTCATAATCAGCATTATAAACACTATCGATTATAATGCTGATTATAAATCTGCAAGATTTTTTTAAGTTTAACGTTTAAGTTTAAGTTTTAAGTTTGAGTTTAACTACATTTATACTTAAACTTTTATTTATACATTTGACTAACTTAGACAACAATATTTTACTCCTTCTTTCTCATCTATGTACAGTCCACTCTATAAATTACTTATTTTGCTTAATAATATTTCAATACTAAGTTAAGTATAAAGGTAAACTATTATTGTTGTTTTATGTGATGTTACTTAGCCCAGTCTGCCAAACAAGTTTGACTGTCTTATATTAATGAAACAATAATTTTAGTTTATACTAAATAAATAATAACTAGTATACATCCTCAGTCAACATTTTGTTTTTCTTCCAAAACTTAATCCTAAGTTCTCTCGTCGCCCACGTAGACTTCTTAAACTTTGTATTCCCTACGTAATATCATTGATTATACATACTATAGATAGGTCACTGCTATAGAAAACATGCTGCTCGACATTTTACTGCCGGTAGAGGGCGATAAGAGAATTGAAATTAATAAAAACCTACTTAATTTGATTTCGACTACGACGACGACAAGCAATAACTGAAGTCTGAACGCGATGGAAGTTGTGCGAAATAAACCGGGTTTCCGTCAAGATTAAAAACAGAGCAACATTTAGTTCAAATTCGAATAACAAATGATAGTTTTTTTAAAAACAGCTTTCTCTTCAATTCATTACATTTAAATACAATCTTTAAAAACAAATTATGTTATAAAAAAAACATACAATTTATTATATTTCAAATGTTGAAGTATAATTTTACATTTCGAATATTTATGACAATTTAAAATATACTTTTAAACATTCTTATTAGATAATTAACTGCTTTAGATATTTAGATGAAAAATGATGTTAGGTTTAATTAATAAATTAAAAAATGTAAAGTTCTTAATTTTTGAATCGGTTTTTGGGAAGTTATTTTTTTGCGGTTAGAATTTGTAGAGGACCATTTACATTCTTTAAACATTTTAACAGTAAAAAATAATTTTATAATATACTTCAAATGTTTAACACATCACACTCGTAGTACGATATTTTCGAGCATACTATGATTTACTTGAGTCATAAATTGATCGACTACATTTTTTTTCACTTTTCAAGTTATTGCAATTTTGTAAAAAAACAATTAAGCCTATTTTTATAAATTGCTCTAGATCGTTAGTAGGAACCTTCAATCCAGAATTGGAATTTAATTCAATGTGTTTAAATGTTTTATGTAAAATGACTAGTTGGTTTTTGTTGTTTAATTCTTTATTTGACTTTAATAAACACTTTTGACTTTTTTAAAATTGAAATTTGTCCAAATATTTATTCGCCAAATAACCAGCATAATATACCGATGGACACTTTTCAAGAGCTGTACATTGGTTTTGTGGTTCTTTTTCTGATGTGGATACAGAAGAATTATCTATTGGTAATAAAACATTTTTGCATTCATTACCACCAGACATGTTTAAGTAGAAAATAGGTCAGTTCTGTTTTAGTCGTAAAACATAGTACCGTAAAATGAGGTAAATTGTAACACTACAGGTAAACCGCAACACCTTACGAGTTTCTTTTGACATGGATATTATGTCTTTTGGCTGGGGGACATAAAAAAATCTGTGCGTGCATCACGCTGAACGTTACAGTAGAATATATGTGCATGTGGCGTGATCTAGCGGTTGTTTTTTGAATGAAAGAGCTGATAAATAGTTGTCAGATAAGAGATTCTCTAATTAGGTACACTAATTAGTGTACCTAATTAGGATATAAAGATATAATATTTATATTTATAAGCAGATTTACATAGAGCTTACACAGTTTAACATTAAATTCCGCTTACAATATTTACATAATTAATAAATAATAATAATATAGAGTGAAAATATTACTGACCTATTCCTACATAGGCCGTCGCGACGAATCCTTGAATTGTTCCCTCGGCGCCGACTGGAGCTAAATCAGACGCATGAGAAATAGCGGCTGTGTAAGCCAGTGCAAATGTTATTCCATTTAGAGGTTCGACAGTTAAAACCCAAAGGGGATGGGTGAAAACTGAGTACAAATAAAATTGTAGAGCGTACGCCATGAATGAGAACGTAAACACGTTCATATCGCCCAAGTAATTAATTATCACACCTAAATCAACGAACATAATTATTTAATAATTGTTTTTTCGTTAAAAAACCAAACACCTGAAAAAATAAAAGCAGGCACTTCGCCTAAGCAACATTGAATCGTTTGAGATAATCCTTCGACAGTTTTAATCCATTTTCTCGTTTCAGGATGGTACACTCGTGCCAAGTCTTCAAGGTACCTAATAATCGTGTAGTTTGTTATTAGAAATATTTATTTATTTACATTAAAAATAGAGTTGACTATCCATAGACATTCAGATAGAACCTCCCCAGGATACTACTTAAGGATTACTCAAAAAATATTTATACAGACGTAATATATTGACACAAATTAAAGTCCATATATTTTAATAATTATAATTCTTAATTTGTAATAACTACATTTTAATATTATCAAAATATTTCCAATACCAAAACTCGAAGTTCCAAATAAACGAAATGAAGAATCCAAAACACACGACAGTTAATAAAAATACAAATACTCTTAAACTGCATATGACGTGTTTTAAATCGTCTACAACACTTTCTTCTCTGTCTTGGACAACCTGTGATATAAATTATACATTAGAGTGTAGCTAAAATGTTATTTGTCAATAATCAATAGAATTATTACTTAAATAAATTATAATTTTTTTTTTTCAATATCTGAAAAAAAAAATTTTAATTTTAGTTTCATAGTGTGGACGCAGTGTGCTACGCGGCATCTGAGGTTAAGCTGTGTTCGTTACTGCTTGATCCAGAATGGGAGACCACCCGGAAAAAATTTTATTATTAAAAAAAAATTTAAATAAATCTCGGCCCACTCCCGTTATTAACGAAACGATTTGATTTAAATCTCTGATTTTATGATAAAAATTTCAGATATTTAAAACTGGTCGAAATCTATTTTTTTTTTAATAACTTAAAAAATCTCTATTTTTGGGGCAAAAATTAGTGATAAAAATTTCAACAAAATAAAAGTCTTATATTAGACCAAAAAAGTTCAAAAAAAAAATTGAGGAGGTCAGTCCGATAACCGCGTGGTTTGACTAAGAATACCCCATATATATATATATATATATATATTTTGGCGGGAAATCAATGATGAGAATCTATGATAAACTAGTTAACCAAAAAAAACGGGAAATATATCTTGAATGTGTACAAGTGGAAAAGATATACAGCATCAACAAGTGGAATGTTATCAGCTTATGGTTCGGGGCAAGAAGTACGGCGTTTCCTGCTTTAGTGGAGTTCTTCAAGAGGTAAACCATTGTCATGAGACTAAGTCTGGACATAATGAAGAACACACTATACATTACCATTTTTATTTTTGAATTATTTGGACACATTTTTTATTATTGTTAGTATTTTTTTTTTAATTTATTAAACATTTCCTTCTATGTATTTTTTTTATTGTCATGTATTTTACTATTATCATTATTATTTTTTTGTTTAATTTATTTTTTATATTTATGTTTTTTTGGATTATATATATATTTTGTGATTAACAACTGTTAGATTTTTTAAAAAAATTTTTATTGTAATTATTAGAAGTATTGTGACTTATGAACGCTTATGTAATACATTATTTATGTACTGAATAGTAGGCTGTGTCCTAGTGGCAACTCATGAATTGGGCAGCTCACCGTTATTTTAATAAAGGTTATATCTCTATATGGGTGGTTCCACAAAATTACGGCAACTATGTCCGAGGCACTTTTCTCGTACAAAAATTTAAAAAATATTTAAATTAAACTTGGTATTTTATAAATAGTAATGTGTACTACGTTGCTTTCAGATTGTTTAAAACAATAAAAAAAAAATTTTTGTTAAGCCACACGGCATCTGATGATATATTGTACTTTTCACTAATTGTGTTTTTTCATATTTTTAATAAACGTGTTTTTCATTAAAGTGTCTGTTTAAATTATTCTTTTAATTAATAAGACTTTAAGCGAGGAAACATTGCACTACTTTTTTAAGTATAGCTCACAACGTTTGTGCCATTTGGGCACATCTGCAACCGGTGCTCTTATCATTGCCTTTGAGTGTAGCAAATCTATATTTTTTAAGTGGTGGTCCAGTTACCCAATATAGAAACAACTACGAGACAGGCACGGAAAAGGAGCCCCGGATAGTGTAGGAGGAGCAAAATAGAATTGCCGACAAAATTATAGCGCAGAAAGCGGGTATAACTAATTTTCATGATTTTGTTAATATACTATCAGAAAACTGTCCCGGAATAAAAATTGCTGTGATGGAAGTTGCTGATATTGCGAAAATTAAAAATTTTATCAAGAAGAATGAAATTGACCATACAACTTTTAAGAGAACTTTGCAAGTACATTAACTGGTGACATATTTAGTTAAAAAAAAAATAATGAAATCACTGAGCTGTTTCTGTATTGAAGCTTGTGATCATTACAAACTTGGCACTGTATATTACAAATAAAAGTGTTTAAATATTATAATAAAATAGTAATAATATTATTATGAATTTTTTTATTACAATATTTCATCAGTCCCTAACCATACCCGTCAGTCCCTAGATGCCTAAATAAAAAAAATCAGGAATATCTCTTAAAATATTACATTAAGTGACTGTTCCTAAAATTTGTATAATATATAAATTACTTTTCATATAACATTTAGAAGACACTTGGATAGCACTTAAAATCCACGTAAGACAAATAAAGATGCCCTAATTTTGTGAAACCACCCATATTTGTGTTTGGTTTGCAGTTTTTAAAGTATGCATTGGTAAAACTAGTGATTATCGTACTTAGGAACATATTGAAAATGTTATTTTCATTTTGCTGGCTAATACATTTTTTACATTTGTTTCTTAGCACTGTATTTAAATATTATATTATATCCTATTGAAGTTTGTTTATGGTCTCACCTTAATTTTAGTAGTGACGTAGATATCGAGCAGTACACAAAATATCGATACCAAATATCCGGAAGTTTGGTCTTTGTGAATTTCGTCTTTGCTAAACCAATCGACAAATGCGCCGGAAAAAATAGAAATTGTTCCCACGCCGACAGCTCCCCACAATCTCTGTTGTCCATACTTACTATGTCGGTTTTCACCTAGAAACATATACTTTCAACGTTTAATAAAAAGTAAAAACAATATCTGCATCAATTACGGTTATTACCCATCTCGTATTTCGTATAATTTAAAAAATATCCAAAAGTGTTTTGATCGATTGAATAAATCGTACGATGCACAATTATTTCAACAAATGTGGATTTTTCCCCCCAAAAAGAATGTAATTAATTTGTAATACAAGGTACCAACAGGTTTTTGTATCGACGTTTATATTATTATTATTTTCAACTGATAAGTAATTTTCTTGTCTAAAGTCAAATAATTGTAATATTTATATTAGTTGTTATTATTGTAAGTGTATTATGTTAGTCAAAACTGTTGTTGAAAGTATGAGAATAGTAAAAATATAATATCAAAAACATTTAACAATAACTATAGTATTATATTTGTACAACATAACTATTACCATACAAGTAAGAAATGTATTTATTTTTTTGTTAAAATATACATTATAAAAAATAAGGTATTTTGATTTAAGGTATAGAATATTATTTTAAATTAAATTATTTTGATTTGCTATAAAATCCAACAACGTTTTAATAGACCGTAAATCAGATCTAAGGACATAAAAGTATCCCTTATTTCTAATATCTACTGAAAGGCGGTAACTTTGGCAACAAGCTTACTGACCTACCCAATAAATTCACACAGATCGTGTCCTCTATAACTGATCTTATTACATTCGAAATCATTAGCAGAGCGACGACAGAGAAGAATAACCAAAATAAAGGCGTTTTGACCGCAATATCGTCCTGGTAACGTTCGTGCACCGATCCTGGCAGAAAGATTAATCCGATGACGGTGAGTATCATAAGTAGCTGCGATATGAACAGAGCAAGTTTTCTGCATTCGTAGGCATCTGTGACAGCTCCAACTAGTAGTCTCACAAAGAAGATGGGCACTGGCAAGATCGTTAACGCGATGCCAATTGCTAATGCAGAATAACCTCGTTGTTTGCTGATAGTGGTCAAAAACGGAAAAACGGGAGCTAATGCTTAAAAAAAAAAAAACAAAAACATTATTGTTACATTAACTGTTTTAACAAGTCAAATACAATAATATTATAAATTTTATTGAAATGGTATAAATTGGTACACGTTAACCGAAAATCACCATATACCATTTGCAAAATCAAAGGAAAGGCTTCTCAGACCATTTCAGAATTGAAATAATTCTGATAAAAATATGTATGAATAATATACTAAGAGTACATAAACATATTGGCGATGATCGTTTAAATTAAGATATAGTTATACAAATATATTTAAGTATATATGTAATATTTACCGCCAAATCCAAAAAAGTAATGCATTTTTATGGGAAGTAGTTCTTTATCAATTTCTGGACACCACATTTCGACCACAAATATTGAAAATCTTAAAATCTTAAACGGTTGAAACCACTTCATCAATTACAGCTAAAGAGAATTTTTATAATTAAACTTGAACGGTGTAAATTGTAGGGGAGTTCTTTAAATGTAAACGCAAACTAAATAATGTCAAAAAATAATAGTAATAATAATATAATACTACTGTTGTCATAACAATTAAACTTATCCTCGTAAAAAACAATTTGTCTTGTTAAATTGTTCAAAAATTTCTAAATACAATTTTCAACTAATAAAACTGTTAAAAAACTAATATCAACTAATAAAAAACTGATACCATAATTATCTTTTATTGCTGGTGAAAATGGTTGCATCTTAATTGTGTTTGTTGGATTGACCTCTGGTCCATTCGAATTAAATTTTTCGCATACTAGGCTAAATTATCAATTATTTATAACTTACTAACAACGATAATCTTCATTTTCAAATCTCTAGTCTAGAGAATGTTTTAAATTTAATAATGTCATGGTTTTTTATTTAATATCATTCATTGTTATTAATTTCTTATTGATAATAGAGATTGCTTTTTATGCCATGGAAACGTAGTAATGAAACTTGGTGGGAAATAATTTTAAATGAAAATCGGTGTAACTAGTCATTGCAGCGTGAAAAATTCCATAAGAAAATTTGTATTTTCATAAGTAGTGTAGTTTGCTGACTTTGCCATACAACGTCTCGTAGACACTTTTTTTTCTTTTGTGCAAATTTTTCTGAACTAGAATTGTCCAGGAGTCAGGTAAAAATTAGGTCAATTATTTCTTCTCGAACTAAATAATACAGATTTCCAAAAATCATTTCCCTTACGAATGTGTGCCTTCGCAAAATCAGTCAGTATCAATCATACCAGCCAGTAGTTTAGGTGCACTGGTTTTTGGTTCCGTCACAATTGTCCTTAGAATGGCCCTCTTTTGGTGTGATTTCAATTTTTGGGGACGATCAGTACGTTTTTGATCTTCAAAAGAATTAGTTTCGTTGTATCGGTTTATAATATAGTGTACAGTCGAGTGCGATTTATTTATTGTCTGTGTAATATTTCTGAAAGAATAACCATCTTCTCTTAGTTTAACTACTAATTTACGAATAGCAATTGGTATCTCCGTTGTTCAATGTATGTGAATTGAATAAAACGGACTAAGCGTATGTTTATCGTTCTTAATGGCTACTAAAACAATGATAACATGCTCGTTGATATGTAGAGCTCTCAGTCCATACGGGTTTTCCCTATTCTACTATTTTTATCTGTTATTCATACACATCGATAAATGTACGGAGACTTTTTTGCTGTTATTTTCCAAAGTTGTTGTACATACATACATGTATAAAATAAACTAATTAATATATATGCTCTATTTTTTTAAAAACAAATATTAATATGTTTCTGAATAAATGTGTGTCAAAAATATGAAGTTAATCAACTTTTGAATTATCATTTTATGTTTTTGAACAAATTTGACAACAGTGTACAGATACTTTTTTTACCCACTGTAATTGTCGTAACAGAAACAAGCATGATGTAAACTACTGTAATTTTTTAATCCCAGGTTATTAACTATATTTTTCTAAAATGAAAAAAAAACCTAAATGATGGTGTTATGATATATGTGAAAGATCAACTATGTTTAGATTGTTTTTTTTTAAATATGAATATGTTAATGCCAATATTTTAAATATTGTTTTAAAAAGTAATAATACATCTTTATGCATTTTGTGTATTTATAGGACACCTTCATGTGATAGAAACGAATTTTTGACCAGTTTAAATAGTATATTTACCTCAGTTAAAAATTTTACTGGAAAAGTCATAACTATCGGGTATATGAACTTAAACATCATAGGTAATAATTGTGTTGATAACGAATATTTAGATATTTTATCGGAAAACGATTTTAAATCTTTCATTAATGTATTTACCAGAATGCCGATAGGTATGAGACCGTCTTGTTTGGATCACATATTTATTAAAAATGTAAATGAGTGTAAAATGAGGCAGGGGTACTTCAAACTAACATCACAGATCACATTTCTACAATTATGTCTATTGAAAATGAATAAAAAGAAACAATTACCAAAAATAATGTCAAAATAAATTTAATAAAGTATCTTCTAGCCCTAAACATACTTAAAATGTGATAAGAGAAATCACAGACATGAAGAACACAAAAAATGATGATATTAAAAAAATTAAGATAAACGATAGAATAATAGATACCTGCGATAATCCTCACTTGGTATCAAACACTTTCAACAACTTTTTTACTAATGTAGGTAGAAATCTATCCAATAATATTGTAAAATCGACTTTGACGTATAAAAAAGACGCTTGTTCAGTTTCTTTTAATAATTTCTTAACGGAAATTATTTATGAATCTGATGTTCTAAAAGTCTTCACTCACTTAAAAGATGAAACAGCTGCTGGTTTTGATGGAATCTCGGTTAAAATCATTAAACATGTGGCTAATAAAATAATAAGTCCTTTAACACATATTTTTAATTTAAGTATTAAAAACAGTATTTTTCCAGAGAAATTTATATGGCAATAATTAAACCTCTATTCAAAAATGGGGATAAAACATGTATAAACAACTATAGACCCATTTCTATGCAAGTAATTTCTCAAAAATATTTGAAAAAATAGACTCATCATATTTTTAGAAAAATTCGAACTTCTGTCTAAAAATCAACTTGGTTTCAGACCAGGACTAGGTACGGAAAATGCGATTTATTAAATCTGCACTTGATGATAAAAAGAAAGTAATGGCAATATTTTTAGATTTAGCTAAAGCGTTCGACACAGTTAATCACTCAGCACTTTTAAATATTTTGCCTGAATTTGGTATTATTACATCAAGTTTAGATTGGTTTAAGAGTTATTTGGAAGACAGAAGGCAAATAGTGCGAATAAATAGCTTTATCGGTAATGAAATGATAATAAACTGCGGAGTACCACAAGGTAGTTCTGGGTCCCATTCTGTTTATCCTATACATAAATAGTGTTTGTAAATCAAAAATTAAAGGACTTATTACTACATATGCTGATGATACGTGCTTACTTTTCTCAGGAAATTCATGGGTGGATGTACGTATTAAAGCTATTAAAGGTTTTAAAAGAGTAGTCGATTTTCTAAATCATAGAAAACGATCGATAAATTATAATAAAACTATGTTTATGAATTTCATGATTAATGATAGAGAAGATAATTTTGATACATTAAAATTTCATGTCTGCGATAATAATAACTCATGCTAACTCATGATATAAAATCATCATCATCATCATGTAGCCTCACAACTCGGTAAGAGTTTTTGGCTGCCACTGTCACCGACCTCCAATAATTACGATCCTGGATTCTTTCCTCCCAATCCGTTACTTCTAGTCTCTCTAGATCTTGACGGACTCCATCCATCCATCGTTTCTTGGGTCTGCCTCTGATTCTTCTTCCTGTAGGTTTATATTCAATTGACGCCCTAACTTCATTTGTCTCATCTCTTCTCATTGTGTGCCCAAACCACTGAATTCTCTGACCCTTCGCGCAACTTATTATATAGGGTACTTTGGTGATTTCCCTTTTTTCTGCGTTTTTTCTTATACGCCATCTATTTATTGTGGTGTCGAACACTGGCCCACATATTGTTCTTAGTACTTTATTCTCGAAGCTTCTTAGCTTTTGTTCAATTTGCATTGTCATCGACCATACTTCACTCCCATAAGTTAATGTTGGTCTCACAATACTTACGTATAGACGTACTTTTGTTCCTCTAGAGAATAGTTTTGATTTAAAATATTTGATTAGTGCAAAAAAAGCCCTTTCCGCTTTGAGTAAGCGACTGGTTTTTCAGCACTCCAGTCGTTGTTACCAGTTATTGTTACTCTTAAATACTAGAAGCTCTGGGTTTTCTCGAACACATAGTTATCTACCGTGAGGTCTTCCCCACCTCTACCCGCCAACGTTTCCATTACTTTTGTTTTCTCTTCATTTATTTCTAGGCCAATCTTTTTAGCTTCATGTATGAGTGTTTTTGTGTTTCGCACTATCATTTACTTATTTTCTCCTACTAAATTCAAATCGTCTGCAAATTCCAACACATCGAGCGTGGTTTTGCCAATATTAATTCCTAGTTTATTACTTTGTACACTGCGTATCACTTTCTCTAATGTTATGTTGAACAATATTGGTGATAGTGCATCACCTTGTTTGAGCCCAGTCATTACTTCGAATTCTATGATGTAAAATGATATAAAATGCAAAACGTTAATAAGAGTCTCTAGTATTCGTTATCTGGGTCTAATTTTTGACAAGAATCTAAGATGGAATCTGCATGTGAACAATTTAGTAATGCATCAACGTACTATGAGTAGTACCAATGCAAGTGGTTCGAACAGTATATCTAGCATTATATTTAGCATTAATGCAATATGGTCTACTTATTTGGGGAGGCCTTTCTGCTAATTCCCTAAAATTTTTATTAATCCAACAAAGACAAATTGTTCGAATATGTTTACAGAAACCTACTCTTGAAGGTTTAACAAGTCAAAACTTTAAAATTATTTAATGTATTATCTGTGGAATTTCTATTTAAAAATACTTCCATTTTATGGGTAGGTAAAAATATAGATAGGTAATTAGAGAAATATAAATAATGAAAAAAACAAAAAGGGAGCATTTAGCATACGACGTTAAAGTGATGTATTTTAAAAAAGCTTTTAGTCAAAAATTCGTGGACTACCTGAGTCCTACTTATTTTAATTCTATGCCTGTTATTATTAAAAAGAATATAATCGATAAACATAAAAATGTTAAAATAACTATTAATAACCGGTTATTATTGAACTTAGAATAAGTTATGTATAGGTTTACAAGTAGTTATCATGTACACCTTAGTATTTTATTTTTATTTCATTATTATTCCATTATTATTTGTAAGTAAACTGTCGCTCTCTACCTTCAACACAAGCTTGCTTTTAGAAG